GTGTGCTTTCTCTGCGTTTGATTGCAATGCGTACTTGGGGGTGATCAAAAGGGTCCGCTAACCATTGGGGAAACCCATGAAACCCCAAAAAAGTGAATTTCACCACACGAGAGAAGCTACCCATGCTTGTTTGAGTGCCAGGAATATTGATCACACCCCCACGTCAGCCTCTGGCGGACCTCAGACTTCGGGCCGAAGGCTTGCGTCCACGAAGCACTTGCGGATTGGTTCCAACTCTGAAAGCTCACATCCGTTTGGGTGGCTCAAAATTCACCAGGGGCAAACCGCAGGTCTCGGTCCGTTTTTGGGAGGGTTCCATTTTGGGACCGGTTTTTTGAGCCACGTCCGTTTCAGAACGTCGTCCCTTTTGAAGGGCTACGCAAAAGGTCTCCGAAAGAGCCACTCACGTTGGCTCCCTCATGGTGAAAACCGGCTGTGTGGCAGTTGGCACCTTGCACGGGCCAGTATGTCTTGTCATTCTGAGCTGACTAAAAGCTGACCCGCAGCAAACTCCAAACAAGATAAAGGGTGTGTCTCTTTTGATACCCTTTTGGCTCGTGATTTTTATAGCCACCCCAAATCCCAAGTGGGTGGGTCCCGGAACCCGCCCCCTGAATTGGGGCGTCCCGTTTTTCCACGGAAGCCACACCCGGTGCAACCTGGGCCAAGGGCTCGTAAGGAATGCCCACGCATGAAGATGTCCTGGCGACCGCTCGCTCGCATGGATTGGTTCTGGCAAGACCCAAACCTGTGGGGCAAAATGGACATCTTGTTCTAGAAAACGGTTTGGATGTGGCTTTTGTGGATCCACCCCTGTTGGATACTAAAAGACAAGACCACCAAACGACTACTAAAAAAGAAGCAACAAGGAGAAAAACAGGTGGCCGCGGAAGCTTTGATTGCACTACCAAAGCTACTAACACGATGTTGTGCTTGGCACTGGTGCTTGCAGCAAGCAGGGCTGCAAAACTAAACGGAGAAAAGGGGGCAGAGTCACTGAACAATAAACTGGGGCGGGTTCAATCAGACTAAAACGCTTCCAGTCAGGTTTATGCTGATCTTCAAGCTGCACAGGAAGCTCACACAGAAGCCAAAGGGAATGGCACAGGCATCTCCCGACTGCCGCAACCCTCATGTGTGGAACGGACTGCTGCAACACCTAAGTTGAGTGACACACTGACGCAACGAAAAGCTGTTGTTCATGACATGTTGGTTTGCTCAATATAGGGAAGCTCTTTTGAATGGTGTCAAGGAAAACAAAAAGAAAACCGTTTCCAGGTTTGGGGGTCCCCTTTCAGACACACCCATGTTTTGGTTGCTGTATATTGTTCATGGGCTCAATGCGGAAAAACAACTTGACTTCAACCAAAAAGTTCAAGTCTAAAGATCCGTTATCCAATAGACCCCCTTCCATTTGCTGCTTCGCCCCCTGGCAAAAATGAGAACATAAACTTCCAGTGATGCAAATTCCCTGTAAAACCGACAAGGGGGTTAAACCCCCCCCCAAAAAAAAAAGAAAAACAAGCTTATTTTCAGCGCCCTCGATTCATTTTTGGGTACTATGACCCATTTTGCAAATAACGGATTACTTAGTCCTAAATCAAGGTCGCTTAAGCCATTTGAAAGGCACTTCGACCCTCAGAGTTGCCCTCCCCAGCCGATCCACGATTCGAGGTCCCCACTGACACTCACATGACACGCTTTGACGCTCACGCGATATTCGGGCCAACGCGATGGTCGGCCCCAATCAAATGTGGCAGCTGTCACACTTCGACACGGGTAGCTGATAGATTTCAACAGGATCCCAACCCTTAAGCCAAAAAGGGCACTTTAGCAAACGAATCAAAGGGTCACTTAGCGCACTGACACGGCCTTAAGTGCCCTCGATTCAAAAACACGTCAAGTGCCTTTCCTTGAATTGAAGGGCACTAAATATGTATGTGCATACATACATATAGACATATATGTATATTTTAACAATCATTTCAGCCAATGCTGGGCTGCCCGTTTTCAGATCCCCCGCAAAACGTGACGATTCGTTTTAGCGTGTTCAATGGCAGCCCAACCACCAAACCAACTAACAACAAACAACCAACTCAGGAACCGGATGGCTGGCCAGCGCCCGAGTTACCCATCCCATGCCACCAGATCGGCGCAGCCCGTCAGATCCCACGCCTGCAGCTCCCGCGCCAGGTTGCCCCCTCCGCGGGCCGGAATCTCAGCCGCGGCGAGGCGATACGTCGAATGGCGAGTCCGGGTGGTGGTGGAATGAACCCGCGGATGCCCCGAAGACAGGACACCACCCCATCACCTTGGGTTGCTTTCAGTTTTTGTTTGCTGCGAGAAGTGGGGGAAACCACCAATTGGATGATTTATCTCGGGGTCAGACTCCATTTCTCCTTCCCTGCCTATCGAACCAGCAAGTTCTCCCTCACCAACGAACGGTATGGTTTCAACCATGGTCTCATTTCGTGGTGCGAAATGGAGTCATCCCATTTTTGTCCCCTTCAGAGTCAGCTTCCTTCCAATTGCTGGGTTTGAGCCCGGTTTGGAGATGTTCCGGGGGGCGTTTCTCTTGTACCTACAAGAACCAGGGCACATCCCCAAACCACCAATCCAAACCACCACTTAGGGCTAGCTGAGAGATGGATGGCAACCTTTGCGTCACGCGGGTCCGCCCACAAAATGTGCCTTTTGCTGCTGAAAGGGAAAATGAAGGAAACCCAAAAGGGCAAAAACAAACTTTAAAAAAAAAAAAAAAAAAAAAAAAACTAAGTCTTCTGCTAGAACCTGTCTAGGTTCCCGGAAGAAATCAATGCCGGATTTATGCCCGGCGTAATTACCCTTTTGTCTTGTGCTGTCCATGCTGAGTGGGCACCCCACCAAACACCGAAGGAAAAGTGCCGATGAACAACTCGGCCAATGCACACGTACAGCAAGTATGAACATTCCTACCCCGCCCCATTTGGACGCAACATGTGAACAATCGGTGCTGCCCTTTGTATGAACCAGTTGCTCCCGCAGAAAACACATTTGAAGCTTAGGATCCAAACCAAATCCATAGCCCGACTGATCACTGGCTACCATGAAGGCTAGACATTCATTGGCCTTGATGGCTATTGCCCTCTGCCTTTGCCCAACAGATTGTACTTCTTGCAGGTTAGTGGCAACATGATATTTGTTCACAACAAGTCAAAGGTTGAAGGGTTAAGAATCTTCAACCAAATAGCAGTCAAGTGACGATTAGCTATCATCTCACTTACCCCAAGGAGAGAGAAACAAAAGATTCACCTTTTGGAGCCTTGACTAAAAATGGTCCAAAACTTGAACACCAAAAGATCAAAGGGTCGGCTTCGGGCTAATGAGTCATTGATCACTTCCTTCTGGTCCCCCATGACACGCAAAGCGAGCAAAGGCCGGGGTTCCAGGTTCTGCTTCTGGGGATCGAAGTCAGAAAACCTTGATCGCTTCAGGCTTAAGTCCCCTGAAAGAAAAACAAAAACATGTGTCCAGTAGGGAAATCGATTCCCTCTGAAACCAACAGGGGAAAATACAACTCACATATTCCTAAACCAAATGGAAGATCAGGCTGTTTCTGCGGATCAAAGTTCGTAAATGGTTGGTTGTTTCCCTTTGCTCACTTCCCGAGTGGATGGCCCCAGAAAGGTCCAAACTTTTAAGTTACCACTCCAAAAGGTATTCAGTCCAGGAACTCCGGCACTGTGACTTTGATCATTTCACAAATTCTGGGGCCCTTAAGGCCGGAACATCGCCCCCCTGAAACCGATCCAGCGAGGCACCGAGGCACCGCGGCACCGAGGCCCCGGCGGCGGTGCCATAGGGCAGCGGAGGCGCTTCTCCGTCGGGAGGCTGGCGACTTTCGGCGAGGCGGACTGTTCGGTCCGGGTTCGGTCCAGCATAGGTGGGCTTTTGGCAAAAACAAGCTGGGTTTCCCTGGCAAATGGCTTACAAACCCCATCTAAACCAGGGATCGCCTCTGTTTTGTAAGCAAACCAACCAAAAAGGACACCTATAGTTTGGAAGTGTTCAAATAGAAAACAGCACATAGCCACATGGGGTTTGTCAAACCTGGGGGCGCATGAGTCCTTATGGAAAACATCATCCGCTACCAGCCAAAAGGCTTGCATCTGAATTGGTGAATCTTCTCCACCCACAGTACTGCACGGGGCCCGTCGCAAGCCCGGTCTCATGTTGATGGGCATCATTTCCTGTTGATGGGGGTGTCCCACTTGGAAGTCATGTTTTGTGAATAACCTCTTTTTAGAAGTGTTACTTCTGTGTTTGTTGTTATCTCCTTGCGCGCCTCAGCTTCAGTAGTCTTGAGAAACATATGAATGTTGAAGTTGGTTGACCGTCGTGGGAAGGTCAGAATGAGACGGGGATCAATGTGTGTTCCATGCACATACGCTTATGCGTGAGTTCATGTACTTGTGTCTATATCACAAATAAAACACATCTGTACATTCAATCAAGGCATCCACCGCTCGCGGACTTTTCCCCTCTGGCCCATGCACGCGCTGTCTGCACAAACCTCATAGCGCGGCCGCTCTCGACTCCGCAGCAGGCCGATCGACCACGGATCGATGACGGATTTGTGCTGTAGAAATTCTGAAGTCACACGGAGTTTGTTGCAGCGCCATAAAAATCGCACCTCGAGGTGATGTTCGTCAATTTTTTGCTGAAATGAATATGCTCTTCCCTTGCTTTTGGTTCACAGGGAAACTGTCACTGGATTTTCTCGAGGGAGCCCCACGTGGGGGAGCTCCGCTTTGGTTTCTGGGGGGGGTGCTTCTTGAGGGCGGCCTTTTCGCCTTTGCGTGCTCAAGTCAGAGGGCAGCCAAAGGGTGTGCTTCCACGTGTGTCTTAAGATAGCTGTGGCGGCTGTCCTTTTGGATTCCCTTTGAACACAAGCGGAGCCAAACCTGAAAAGATCGCCACGGGCGGCTCGGCGTGGCTGGGCCGGGCCCCCGGGCCAGGGCTCAGCCGCTTCGCGCCCGAGGGGCATCATGCCTCAGTCGCTCGAAACCGGGGCCGGGGGATGCGCTCGGCTGGAGGCCCCCCGTAGCAATTGAGACCCGAAGGGTGTCAAACCAAAACGGCAGATGGTTTTACTTGTCCATTTACGCGGCTTCCATCTTGAGGCCCGAATTTTTGTTGAGCCACACGGCGCCGAGAACATCCTCCAGGTGGGCTTCCTGGGAAGCCCAACTAACACCATGTCCCCTATCTGGGTGTAAATTTGCATGGTCCAAAACAACCCGAAACGGTGTACATCAGTCAGACTTCGGTGGGGAACCTGAGACCGCCAACTTTCAACTCTTTTCAGGTTCCAACTCTTAAAACAACTCATGGGCCATGTCTGTACCTCCAAAAACATTCATTTCCTCTTGATGGGACTTTTCAGTTCGGAAAGGTATCTTCCAGTTTGCTTGCCACTCCAACTGCTCTGGGCCACTTCCACAGCTCCCCTTGAGGCCTCGGCGCGTAGGGGCACCTGGTGCCACGTGCGCAGTTCCCCAGGCGGAAGTCGAAGCACGGCTTCGGCTTGATGGCGCCGGCTGGCACGGGGCTTCGGCGAGCAGCGGCGAGCAGAGGGCTCGTTGGAGCGGATGTTGGTCGTAGCGTGTTTACCGGTTGACCCACCTTTTTCTAGGCCCAGATTTGCGAGGTTAGCATAAGTGTACCAACTTGTCTTCCTCTCTAGTCGATTTTAGTAGGGGAACCCTCCCCCAAAAAAAGGGTGAGAAAGGGCACTACTGGGGGACCTGGTTTTCACATGGAATACAAACTTGTCCTATCATGAGGTACAGTGGCGCTGGAGCCTCACTGGCACTTGAAACTGCCTCTTGAAGGTGACGGCAAACTCTGTTCACAATCTGTTTTTGCGCTGTCGCAAGCTTGATTCTTGGCAACTCTATGCGTCAAAATTGGGGGGACCCCAAAATGGTGCGTGCTTAACCAGTCCCAAACATGGTGCTAGTATCTCAAAAACACACAAACACCCTCCGCACAATCGAAGCCACTCCTTCCATTTCCACCCTAAAATACAATTTCCATATATCCAGAAGTGATAAATTCTCTTTAAAACCAACTAGCGGACAACAACAAAAAAGTTCAGCAAATGGAAGCCGCTCCAGAAACCACCACAGCATCAGCAATCACCCAATCTGCCTGGGGCTTTCTCGTGAAGGTAGCGGCAGCTCTCGCCACGCTGGCACTGTCCCTGACGAAATCGATGCTGGCTGCTTGTTGTTCGGCGCTCAGGGCGGGGCAAACGCTGGGGAGGGGGAGCGGGGCGGAGCGGGGGGGGAAGGGTGTGTGGGGATACCAACCCCTTTTCCCAGAATCATGGAAGTGGACGTCTCTCTCATGATGTCATCATGCTACCATGTCCCTAACCAGAACTCCGATCTGTAGCTCCAAAAGGCTCCCAGCAAATTTGGATATCTCCAACTCCGCAACGGCTCGATCCCTTCCAACCACCAGCTAGCATGAGTCCAACTACGACTTTTTGCAAGAATCATGGAAGCGGACGCTTGCGGCACCCTCCTGTCAGCTTCCATCTTTGTTGGAGGGTAAATGGCGACTTGGGCCATTTTTGCAACCAGTGACCCGGGAGAAACAAGATGTGGAACCATTGGGTTGAATTTGGCAGGGATGCCACAAACAAATGAGGAAACGGAGCATCTACCATTGAACTGGTGATATCAACGCTTCTGTGACTCCACTGCGCAGCACAATTCATGGCTCGCCTCAGCACTCTACCAAGCCCAAATAATGTAGCTCAGGTGGAACTCGAGATTGCGTCTTCCCCAGGCCTACCTCAAGAGTGTTTCTTCAATGTGTCAAACGATTGATACTGTCTGAATTCAACACACCCCGTGTTCGGCCACAACAGGATCTGCGCTGTGTAAAGCGGTCTGAGCCAAATGACATATGCAAACATCTGATTGCCCCAGGAGGGTATCCCCAGCACTTTGGGCATCCGCAATCCGCCCAAAACATGCGAGCAGGGTGCGACAAGTTTGCGCAGCCTATGCAACCAGGTAGGACCCACCAAAATTATCAACCTCGTGTGGATGGCTTATGGGATCTTATGGGTTCTAACTCGCTTTGGGTCCGTGTTCTCTTGAGGCTGCCCTATGTTGGATCAGGCGCAACCAAGCCAAAATTTGCCGAAGCCGTTTTGGGGCCCAACCCAACGAACGAGCCACCGAACGTGGCTTCGCCCTCGGTGCCAACGCCCGGCCTTCTGAAAGGCGAAGCAATACTTGGGCCCTGGCCGAGCCCAGGAGCCGAGGAGCCGGGGGGGGTGAAGTGAAGGAGGCGTCACGTGCAACCGCGACTGGCACAGGGCTTTCTTTTGGAGGGTGTCCACTTTGGCCGGCAAAGAACAAAAAGGGAATGAAGGGAACTGAAGTGAAGGGAAAACACTAGAACCGAAGGGAAATGAACTGGGGTCAGCTGCGTGGCTCATGTTTTTTTTGGAATCCCCCCAAATGGCTTCGGATTTCCTGTTGGTTTCTCCGTAAAACCAACCAAAAGAGCTTCCCCAACACAAGACACACCCAGTTGTTTCTGGAGGGTAAAGCTGTTTTTGTTGCCAGGCCTGCGCTCCCCCTTTTCTTCAGTTGGGGGTTAAAGTCAGAAATTGGGGCTTTCTCTTGACCACTTTGAATGCGGTAAAAAATAACGAGGCCAGGAAAAGGGATTCGGATCGATCGATTTGCGCCAGTTGGATCAAGGTTTTGTTGCGTGGATGGTGTCAAAATCGGGATCGGGACCCCAGGAATGGAGGGGTTCCTTTTGACCGCAACCTTTACAGGGGCATCCATCCCAACTGCCAGGTGCGCACACATAAACAAATTGGCTTTGGCGTTCTTTGGTTGAAGAATCATACATTGTCATGTCATGATGTGCTCATGTTGCCTGAATTGCTTCAGACCCCGACGTTCGACATGTTCTTGTGTGGAGTATCAGGGATATTCCAATTCAGGATTCCCGCCCCCTTTTTGGATGCCAAGGGGTCCCCCACTCGGGCGTGCCTTTTGAGGGTTACGCTTTTAAAGCCTGGTTCACAAGGAAGCCCACATGACCCCCGCCCCGCCCCATTTTGGGTACCTCAGCATCTCAGTCCAGCCTCCGAAAAGCTGATTCAGAGCCGTGGGAAATGGCCTCGGCTCGGGTCTGACGTGCTTGGGCCTCTGTCAGGAAGTCTCATCGTGGACATCAAAACTCGGTCGGGATGCATGTCCGCCGACCATTTGCGGCGTGGTTCCTTATTCAAATTCCCAGCCACATGAAGTTGCAAATGTTTTGGAAACTGAACAGCTATAAGTCTGGAGAATGAGCCGGACTCAAAAGAGCAAGGTCTTCACGAAAACGGTGATAAACTGACATGGGCTGTCCTCAGATACCCAGCTGAAAGTTTCATTTTGAGTGTTAAATGGACATCCAACCATCAACCACTTATAGGCACTAAAAAGCTAACAACTTGAGGGGGCGGCTGGGAACCACCAAGTAACGGAAGGTCTCAGGACAATTCGAACCTCAAAACTTGCAGCAAATCCCTTCACATCTGCGCACCTTCATAACCCCAATAAAAGAGAAACTAAAGTCTGAACTTGATGCGCATGTTTTGGAGGCCCCGCAAAACCTTAAGCACCCCAAGCTTCCTACGTCAAAACACAAAGGGGAAATCCAAGCCTAATCCACCGAAACATAGGCCTGGCCCATCTCATTGTAACGCAGGTGGCTTTTGGATGTATCCTCCTACCGGAATCCGGTACAATGACCAATACTGTGGATGGACAACATCCACTTGGCACCAGTGGGGAAGAAACCGACTCGCAACTGGCGAATCTTGTCAAATGATTTTGCCCTGTGATTTCATTTTGGTCTCCCCAAATGAGGGTACCCCATTTTTTGCGGCCCAGGAAAAGCATCCGGAAAACCATTGCGCCGTTTTCGGTCACCCAGAAGAAAAACCGCTTCAGAGAGTGCGCGATTGACAGTGCCCGTTTCACCCATTGACTTTTGGTTCTATCATGGTTACTTCCGATCGAGTGGATTGGGGAAAAAAAAGGAAAACCAGATTTGTTGTTTGCCACCAAAATGGTCCAACCCCAGAAGTGACTGAAGTCCAGGAACTCAGGAAACAAAAATAAAAAAGGTTTATATGAATTTGACTCTCCCTATTAAACCAGATAGTAGAACCGCAACAAATTCATCCCTACAATCCACACTAAAACAGCCCCTTAAAAAGTTGCAATTTACTGGTGGTGTCAATTGAAACTGCCGACCAAAGGGAAATGGTCGGCTTTCCCCTGTGAAAGTTGTGAGTCGTGATCAAAATCGATCGGTATCAAAATGGCCTACCCAGATTTCATGTAAGGGGATTCTCCCTTTCATCTGCCCGAATCGGCCCAAAACTTGGTGGTATTTGCCCAGCCATCCGGTTCAACTTGGCTTTTATTGGTTGTTTTAGAGTTCGTTCAGCCAAGTTCGTCACTTTGATCGCAGGCCACGGGCAGCTCCAAAAGCTTTCTCTGGACGTGGTTGGGTGTTCTCTTTTTCAAACTGGACGTAAAGGTTTGTTGGGACCAAGTGGCTTTTTTGGGCTGGCACGGCCACGTCCAGCTCTGAGAGGCTAGACTAAGGTACCATTTTTTTCTGCACCCTCCCAACCAAAAAAAAACCGTAAGAAGGGCAAGCTGGGGGGCCTGTGGAATGAACCCTACTCCAAGACTTGTCCGTGGGATTTCCCATGTCCCAAGGCGCGCCAGCGCCGGCAGCTCCCCCGGCTCCGCCAGGCTCTCGGCGCGCCGCAGGGCCTCGTCGGGCCGCACGGGCCGCACCAGCACCAGCCGCTCCTCGGAAATCGCATTTCTCGGCTCGGGTGGAGGAAATGCGGCGGCGGCGTATTTTTTCGGGTCCCCGGGCGGGCAAAAAGCTTTTCCACCGACAACTTTGCTTTTCCACCGGAAAGATTCGAGTTCTGAATGTTGTTTGGTCCATATTATTTGGTAACATCAAAATGTAACAAGACCCCATGAGAGAAAAATAAAATAGGTGTGACTGGGCAACACCCTGAGTTCTCCCCAAATTTGACATATGCTAAGACCGTCAAAGGAACACTATGCCCCTGGCAGGACTCAACCCAGTCCCCCCCGGCTCCCCGCACCAAAACAATGAACAACACATGCAGTTCATCTAAAGGATGAAAGTAAAGCACACAATTTCCCGTTTGGCTTCAGAATCCCCTCTACTTGACATATAAAGGAACTGCGCTATGCACTCTCTCTCACCCTAAGTTAAGTGCTAAAACTAGAGAAAAGGCCAAGCTGTTTGAGCCGCAGGTTGAATCAAGCCGTCGGTCCTTCTGATGAGCCATGCGAACAAAAAGCGAACACGAGAGCCTAGTTCGGTCGCCTCCGTTGGCTTTCACTACCTAGGTTGAAGGGTCGCATCTGCGGGGTGGCTAGGTCCTCCAGTAGAGAGGTTGGAATATGTGGGTACCCTTTTATCTGTATTAGCCAAAAAAGGGTAAAAGGGCACCACTGGGGGACCTACGTGGTGAAGAAAAAGGCATTTCGCACTTGGTCAAATGCCACTATCAGCATCCTCCAAGGTATTGTTGGAACAGTCGCGCACTCAGGCAAGCGCAAAGACTTCCGCAATGCTTCCTGTCAACCCAAAAATACTTCCCCAATCCTAGTTCGGCCTGACAGTTGCGCCACTGCTCCTTCATGTGACGAATCTGGAAGCCAACACAAGACCCTTCGAAACGTGCGAGACAGGTACATGCTTCCACCTCCAAATACTCCAAGGACCAGCCAAATAGAACCAGGTGATTTCGCGCCAACCTGAGTTCTCAAAATTGGGGCACCAAATGGTTTGGATGCACTTGAAACCAACCAAAGGGCATCAAAGGCACGATTCCCTGATTGAACATTTGTCTGAGCCAGGACTCTGAATAGCGTCGTCCCTCGAGGGCGGGGACTTTCATCAACTTGCCACCTGGCAATGCTAAGGTCCGAACGAAAGAAATCTTGGTGCTTTGCAGGTAAACGATTTCTTAAAGGGGCCCTCTGGTACGTTCCATGGCGACTTGGAGATAAGGATATTTCATACTATTTCCCCAGACTTGGGGACAAATACTTGGTGTACCCCGTGTTGTTTCTAAAAATAACAACATGTCCAGTAGTGATGGATTCCCTTTAAAGCCAACAGGGAAAAACACAACTATTCTTAAGGGAATGGAAGTTTGGAAAACCCGTCAGAAGAGGAGGGTTTTCTATTCGAGAACTGCTCGGCCCGGCAGGCGCCACAGGGCGCCCACCAGAGAGCAAATTCACGTGGATTCTGGATACTTAGAACTGGAACGCTTTCCAAGCCTTGGTAAGGTAGCAAAAAGCTTTTTGCAGCCCCCTACCATTGGAAGGGTGTCGTGTTGGTGAGGACCTGCAGCATGAGATGCGATTCGGGTCTTCGGGGGGGGGGCGCAAAGAAAAAGCTTCGGCTCCTGGCAAGCACACCTGTTCACGTGCACCCTCTCGGCCCTGCCAAAGGACAAGTAAGCACACCCGCTCAAGCGTGCAATAAGCACGCTCGCTCAAGCGCGCTCGCATAGCACTGCAAACATGCCCGCCAAATGACAAGTAAGCACATCCGCTCAAGTGCGTCCACGTAGCACTGCAAACACTGTTGAAGCGCGTCCGCGCAGCACTTCACACATGCTCGACAGATTTTCACGGCCTCACAAACCCCGGCCAAGACGACGCGTAACAACGAACTGAATCAAACAAAAGCCTAAACACATGCCAACAACAGTGAGGAATAAAGATAATTCAAGAAGCGATCCGGTAAATCCCCAGGTGCTTGAGCACCGACGCAAGCACTGAAGTCAGAATATGGAGGTGCAGTCTCAAGGCAGCATGGAATCCTCGGTGAATTGAACCTCAGCTGACTCACCCAAGAGATTCATCTCAAGGGGCACCGTGAACTGGTGTCTATCTGTTCGAAACACCGGAACACTCGAGTCACTTGCCTCAAGTGACTCGAGTCCGGGAAGACATGCAAACAAGGCTCCGGCTGGGAAGATGCCTTTCTTTGGAGGGCGAGCCAAGTAGCTCGTGACAAGGCCACACGAATGCATGGCGTGGCCTCTTACAGACATAACATCCCCAAACAGAGGAAATCCAAAGCACATAACCACAAACGCTCAGTGTGCAAAAACAAACTTCTGAACTCAAGATTTGGGTGTGTCTTCGAGGGTAGCCCTTTGGAATAAGCCAAGGATGAGCCCTGAACAAGGAGTCACCCCCCCCATAGCCCCCAGTTCGCCCCCTGGATGCGATCACCGCCAATTCTCCTCCCCCACTACTGGATCTAGCACCACCGTTCAGAAACCCCAACGGTTGCTCATGATCCCCAACGGTAAATACCAAACCGCGAGGTTTCAACCTATGGTTCCCTGGGTAAGCGGAAATTTCCGCGTCGCCATCTCAGAAAGTCCAGCGACTCCCCCGTCGCCTGCAAAGAGGAGAAGCGCCGCCTTGGCGGCCTCCCGACACGCCGGGAAAAGCGCGAAGCGCGGGAATCCTTCGCGGGGGGTGTCCGGTTCTCCGCGCGTGTTGTGTTGTATTTTTTCCCGGTGGCACTCCGCCCTGAAAATCAAGGGATACCCTCCCCACGGTGCCATGGCGAGTCTGACAGAGTTCCAGGTGCGCTCCCACAAATGCTACGTCGGTGGGAGGAGGGATAGTTGGATCGACAAAGCCACAATAGCGAGGCAGTCTTCATAACTCCTTGCCAAAAAGTCACCAGTGGAAACCAACCTGAAAAGGGTACCCGCAAACAAACACACACACACACACACACAACACAACACAACACAACACAACACAACACACCACACCACACCACACCACACCACACCACACCACACCACACGCTTTTTCGCAATAGCAGTCCCATGGGGATAGTTTTAAGAGGCAGTCAAAAAGGAAACCAACCACTTCAGTGGGCCCGAATTTTGAGAAACATACTCAGCCACTCAGCTTCCCTCTGCCTGCTTTGGAGGTGTTCCAGGGTGGGAAACCACATTTCCCCTCACGAACCAGGGCTTCAAATCCAAATCCAAACCACCAATTGAGTCACAATCAAAACCTGGTATTAAAATGGTCGACCCAGAATGGGCGTCTGTACCTATCGTTGGGATTATCCCCTACGAACCTGTTGGCCCCATGTTATTACAAAGCAGGGCTAATTTTTATGGGGTCAGCATTACCTGCGGATTCAACCACACAAAGAACACCCCCAATAAGCAGTAAACCAAATTTGACATTACTATTCTTGCCACTCTCTCATCTCTACTTCATTGTTAAAGAAAGTGACCTGTTCCCTCTGCACCTTTCAACGCATTCAGACAAGACACGAATCTTGGCTCTGTTGCAGAAAGCAGCATGTTATAAGAGATGATATGTGAGTCTTTGTGGTAATTAGAGTCAGGGTTACAGTGATTCAGAAAAGTACAGCAAAAGACAGTAAATATCATGGTGTGCCCAAAGCGCTCCAAAGACTTCCGCGCCTCCCAGCTCTCAAAGCCGAGCACCGCTCGCCCGCTGGCGCGGCCATCCACCGCCAAGACCTCGCGAATTCACACTGCGGCTGCCGGACAGTCAAAGGGAAACCCAACCCTTTTAGGGAAACCAACTAAAAACCAACTAACAAACCCTAAACCAACTAACAAACTTCCCACCAAGCCAACTAAAAAGCTGCTTTTCGGGAAAGCCAGCCACTAAACCAACCAAAAAGGATCTAAACGCCTAAGGCGGTGGCAGGGAAGCGCCCTGAACCAGCAGGACACCCAATAAAGATCTAAAGACCTAAGGCACCAGATGGCCGGGCTTGCCACCAAGAACCCCATTTTAGGCACAGGTTGCCGAGCATGGGCGTTTGTTTTTTTGGCGAAACAGATGGGGTGTCTTCCTGGTGAAGAGTTTAGGAAACCGATCTAAACCAGAGGAACCCGAATCTAGGTCTAACCAAACTAGCCTAAAAAGGACACCTGTGGTTTTGAACACGCACCATTTTGAACCCATCAACGCTGCCCAGGTGTGGAATATGGGAGTTCTTTCGGCCAACTCCCACGCCTTGCCACTTTCAGGGAAGTTGTCCGAAAACGTGCAGCGGTGGCTCCGGGTGTCGGGGTGGCTGGCGAGAATGAAACTCAAAACTTGTTGGGTCCTCGTTCCGGATGGCGTACAAACCAGGGTGAGAGTAGAAGGTACTTTCTGTTGGTAAATATAGGGGATGGTTAAATCGAACAGGGTCTCTGTGCCAGCTTTCACCCTCAGGTTGGCTTGCCAGCAAATTCAACCATCCGCCACTGCGCCTCTCTCTTACAGCTTCTCAACGTAAGGCAAAGCTCCTGGAATGGAGACCTCTGGAACAAGCTCACGCTGGCCAAGCGTCAAGGCGACAACACAAAGTCCCTCTGGTCACTCCCTCCAACGGTAGAAGTCAGGTCCTCTTTTTTTTCCGGTCGGGCTCAAAGATCCAGAAGTATTCAACCCGTTTTGTAACAGTTTGCCTTGAGGATCACTGTAGTCCTGTCCCTGGGAACTGTTCTTTTTGGCCATTGGCCGCTTAGTCCATAACTAGAAGCACCAGTTCCAGACTTCTGTTTCAAACCTTTTTTCAGAATCACAAGTGGGGATGCAAGCTGAAGGTGTTGGCTTCAAAAGTGCGCAGATGCAGGCAAAGCTGGCCACTTCAGCCTTAAAGGAATACTCATGCCTCACACATACACACAAGCAATGCCCTTCAAACGCCTTGTGGGTTGCTTTTCAGTTCTTCAAGATTCGGGCCATTTATGATGTACCTGAAAAAGCTTGCAACTAAACGGGAAAACTTCAGCGATGGACACCTGTATGGGGCAAGGCAAGCAGGGACTAGGGAATCCTGCCCCAAAATGTCTCACCTTCCTGCCCCCAGCAATCCGTTGATCCCACGAAGGGCCCCTCTTTGAGGCAGCCCTAAATTTCCCCAAAGATCTTTGAGGGCGCCGCGACCAACAGGGTGATCTTCCCCGCAGCAACCTGCGCAAACGAGGCACTGCTCCAGGAACCATAGGGAGACTCCACTGAATTGCGTGGGCAAAGCCCCTGATACGCCCCAGGCACTACATTACTCGAACTTTGGCGGCACTTTGAAACACCTCGTCCAGTCAATCTGCGAAGAAAGAAGCCTCACCCATCGGTCGTGATGTCCTCAATTCCTGAGTGGATTGATTGAACAAGATCCAAACTTTTGGTCTGCCACTTCCCAGAAAGTACAAGGAGCTTGGGAAGTGAACGTCAGACCGCGTCAGACCCCTAGGCCCTAGGCGTGCTACTCCAACCCCCATGCCTGCCCCAGGTGCTCTGCCAGCCAAGTGCGCATCTCCTGGCATGGGAAGGCAGGTGTTTTTGCCGAACCGCGCTTGTCAATGTGGATCTGGAGAACATCTGCATACGCATGCAGAGGTTCCTAGTCCTCCTATTAAACAAAAAATATGTAGCGAGTGGTGATACAGTAGCAGGGTAAACTCCACCGACCCCTTGCCTGGTCTAGAATGGACCATGTTTTTGTTTCCTTGTAAGTACCACAAGGCTTACGCTCGCTGAGCAAGTAAAGCAAGATGCAAGCTTTCATCGACCGGCTGGCCGCTTGCGATGGCGATGCACCGGATCCTGGGGAGGGGATGGCGGATCCTCCACCGAGACATCAGGGGAACCTACCTCTGCACCTGCTGGGCTGTATGCCAACTTGCAATTGGCACATGGTCGCAACTCTACTGCGCTGGCTCTCAGTGCCAAAGCGTGATTGCAAGCGAAGTGATGGTACACCCCAGGCAGCTGCTGTTGGTTCCACGAAATCTGTGTATGGTGTGGCCAATGGGGGTCGTGCCGCGTTCGAACACCCAAGGCGTTGGCAAACCATTCATCTTGCGCCGAAACACACACGCAACATGCTGCGCCAGCAGATCCGGGTTCGCCAACAAGACTCGCCCTGGCGCATCTCCGGGCGCTTGGCGCAGACCTTGGCCTGTACGTTGTACGTGCGCATTGTCCGCAGGCGCTGGCCAGTCATCCTTGCCACAGTCCGCCGAGCGCAGTTAAACTTTGCTTTTGAGCTTCTCCAGAGCCTTTTCTTGAACTTCAGTATTCCGCGCAGCCCTAACCAGCTGAAGCGGCTGTCAAGCCAACCGAACTGCTTCTGCCACACGGCTGTTTCGCGGAGCCGCTTGCAACGTGGACGCTGGCAGAAGGCACTGCTTTTGGCGCGCTTCATCGCAGTATCCACCTGCCAAGGAAGCCTGGGCTAAGCAGTGAGCAACATTGCTTTGTGGAGACATGAAACGGCTTGCCGCGCAGCCAAATGAGCCCATGTGACGTTTAGACGTGGAACAGCGACAGGAGCGCAGGTGGCCGCGCCTATCCTACTCCAAAAAAGAAACTATTCCACAAAGGGCTGATTTATACCAGACGTGTATTGCACAGGTTTGGCTCATGGCCTCCTGCGCTTTGAACCTTCAATAGCCTGCGCAGATGCCAGAGTGAGGCCTCAAAGGCGCCAACCAAAGGCCACCTCCACATTCAAGCGCGGCATTCTTGGTCCAACATGTCTTCAATGAGAAGCGGAAGCCTTCCACTCTTTCATTTCTTCAATATGTGCACAACCCCCGACGAAAAGCAAAGAAAAGACAGAACCAGCTCCCCGAACCAAGTTGTGTGTCTGCGCCTGTGTGTGTGTATGCGTCTGTGCATGCGCAAGTGTATGTGTATGCGTATGTGGTGCATCTGAATGTACGTGTCTGTCCATGTGTGTGTGTGTCTATTTGTAGGTAGGCACGCGTCTCTGTCTGTGTCGCGCACGTGTACCTGTATGTGTCTGAGTATGTGTCTGTGTACGTTTCTACGCATGTGTGTGTGCATGTGTATGTGTAGGTGTTCGCAAGTTGGCCCGCGGGGCTAATAAGCCTTGCCTTTTGGCGGAACCAGGCCGGAGGCCATGCAAATGGAAGTAATGAATAAAAAAAAAACGGTATAAAACCAATCCAAGGCTTCCACTTGCTTAAGACCGAATGGAACAAGACAAAAAATCCGAGTAGTGATGGATATGTTCCCTGTAAACATGGTCAAATGGAAACTGCCAATCACAGATGTCTTGATGTAGAAGCATTCCACGGCTATTTGCCCCGAAACCAAGACTCTGTTCGTTTGGCAGCTTGGTGGCAAAAGCATTCTTCCCCCGCTCTAAGAAAAAATGAAAAAGAGTCCAAGGTCCATCTCTACAGCATCTGGACAATTCGAAACATTTTTCACCTCGTCACCTCGGTTGTGATTTTACTAGACTGACATAGCACCTCGCCTCGTTGCATCGATATCTGGAAATAAGTATTCCTCGAACCCTCGTTCACAGCTAGGGCAACTTGCACAGAGAGCAACTTGTGTGGCCCAAGCCAACGCGGAATGCGCAACAGGATGATGCACAGGAAAACCTAAAGCGTCACGCTGAGCAAAACGAGGGGAGAACCAGCTGGTTTTGCTTTGCTGGTTTTTAGCGTCGCGGCTTGCTGCTTTGGAAACTTCCGCCTGGCAAAGACTGCCCGAAACGTGCCGGGGTAAAAATTCCGGAGTGTTTCGGGCAGTCTTTATCAAGCTCCAGCGCTGGCACTTAATTTTCCTCTTGTTTTCTTTGCTTGTATCTCGTAATCTTATTTCAATCCTTCTTGTAGGATGATCTGCTGTGGCATCACACTCGCGGAGCACGCAGGTGGTCCTGGGTGCGTATCTGGGATCTTCCTTGTTTTTGCGGGACTGCTGCTGCTCTTGACTGTTGCTGCTGCTGGAAGCGGATCGGCAAGGACGTTTCGGGCGGTCTTTGCAAAGACTGCCCGAGACGAGCCGGGCTAACATTCCAAGGTGTTTCGGGGTCCCCGCGTAGGTACCGTCATAGTGTGTCCGCGCTGATTTTGCTGGTTTTTGTGAGTTGGGGCTGCTGCTGCTGCTGTTTTTGACCTGCTGCTGTTTTTGACCTAATGCTGGATTGGTCAAGATTGCCCGAGACACTCTGGAATTTGATCCCAGCTTTCGGAAAGACGACCAAGTTCAAAGACTCTTTGCAGAGCACTTACATTTCTTCTTCTGTTCATTTAATTCCCATAATCCTAGTTCACCCAACTGCAGCAGGGCCTGCTGTTGGATCGGCAAAGGTTGCCCAACACACTCTGGAACGTGATCCCGGCGCATTCTGGACAGTCTTTGCCGACGCTGCCTACCCACGAAAGGCGTGGTTGGGTAGAAACAAGCAGCGTCGGAAAGACGACCCCCGGCAAAGACTACCCGAAAGGAGCCAGGCAAAAAATCCGGAGCATTTCGGGCAGCTCCTCCCAGCTGGCATATTTCTGCATTTTTAACTCGGGCCATGCCTCGTTAAATCCTTTATTTGACTCGTATCTCGGCTGAGCTCGTTGTAATTTGGTCAGCAGCATTCAAGATAGGTGGAATTCTGTTGCTGGTGTCTTGCTTGGGGCTGGGGCGACTCCACGCAAGGCAGGTTTCATCCAAGAAACCAAAATGCTCGCGCCTCTTCGAGCAGGTTGAAGGGCAAGCCGTCCACAGCAAGGTTGGTATCCTGCCGGCTTGGGATGTCTACCCCACGCAGCATCTGATCCGCAGAAACGTCCCTTCTGGGGCAAACATTCAATGGCCACACTTCGCCCCTGGGAAAAAATGCGCAACCACACATCCCCTCCGAGGCATAAAGAATCTAATTTGTGGAATCCCTTCAAGAGAAGCTTTGAGCTGAGCGCAGCGCCCTGCACTTGGCAAGCAAGGGCGAAAAGACAAAAGAAAAGGCGACAGACACTTTGAGCGGATTCCCCAGTCGCCAGCGAGCCCCTGATTTTTTATGGAAGCCTACCGCACGAGTTCGCCGTGGCCAAGGTGTCAGTCCTTCTTGGTTCCCCTGAGGAAGGCCTCCCGCTCCTCGAATCGCTGGCGATTCATGGGACCCTTCGGGCTTTCTTTTTCCGTGGTACCCATGTGTCATGTGTTGAAAATGGAAACCCAAAGAAAGTCACAACTTTGGTGGGTCTCCTGGGCTGAATGTCGACGGATTAATACGCCCGAGACGCTGACATGGACAAATGTTCTTCGCCATGGCTCCAATTCGACCGAGACTCTGCATAGAAGTTCACCGGGCAAAGGTTCGTCTTGCTCTTCAGGAGCTGCTGCAATGCCAGCCTGCGGCATTGGCCGAGCTCCGCTGAAAACTCACCACCCCAGCAATAGAAGTCCGCAAAACAACCGGGGCAAATGTGCTTTAGATTATATATGCCTGCTATTGGAGATGCATACTATACCGGTATGAAAAGCATAATGGTGCATAGTAAAGTAATAGCGATAGCAATGGTCATTGTCAGAGGATATGTCCCTGAATCAGCGCGTTGCCTCTTTCAACAAAGTGTGACCTATCCTATGCACACACACACACACACACCTTCTGCACAGCTTCTGACTGCACACACACACACATTCTCACTTGGGCTAGCTGAGTGAACGGCAGTACCATCCGAGAATCATCAAGACCACAGTGCTCAGATCCTCGGCGCACCACCAGTCAGTCTCGCTCCAAACGGCGGGGTAGCCCCCCCCCTCCGCCCCATCCCTTTGGTCTCCTGTTGTTGACTCATCTAGCAGGGATACTCCAAAAAAAGGAGACACCCGATCGGGAAAAACCAAAAGAGTGTCCAACTTGTGACCCTACATAAAACCGTCCAAAAAGGCTTTTTTCTGGATCCAAAGCTTAGACAGGTAGGTGTCAAAGGGCGTCCTCAAAAATGGGATGTTCGGTGTTCCTGTTGATTTTCCACACCCGGAGAAACGTTGGTACCAACTCAAAAGGAAACCAAGCCCCCACTTTCAGCCATCCAAGTCTTTCTCAAAGCGGTGGCTCCGGCGTCCGTTCGGCTGCCGGCTCCACCATTTTGAGAAACTCTCCAAGCCAAGACTCCTTCTAACGGTTTATGCAGGCTTCACTAGCCCAATTCGACCAGGTAGAAATCCATTGGCTTTTGGTTCTAATCGTAAAGCTTTACATTGGGACCATCCCTGAACCCTCTCCCAGGATTATGCCTGTGCGAGTTCAAAGGAAAGAAAGTGAAAGAGAGAAAATCATCAGGCTTACTTCCGATCGAGCGGATTGGCCAAAACAAGTCTGAACTTGTTATTTCCCACCCACATAGCAACCAAACCCCAAAAGCGACTAAAGTTCATGAACTCAGGGCGTCAGGGAGTGAGTTTTCTTTTGGTTTCCTTTCGGTTGCTCTTTGAATAGGCCGGGCGGCCCATCATCTCCACTCCCAGCGCATCACAGATCTCCTTAAGGCTGGAGGCGCGCACGCCTGGCGCGTGCTGGGTTCGTTTTTTTGATTTGGGCGCTTTTGCTTTTGCAAGGGCGGTCTGTTGGGCGGATTGGTTTTGGGGCGGATTTGCTTTGGAAGGCTTTGCTTTGGGTGGTCTTGTGTTGGGTTTGGTTTTGCTCTGGGTGGTTTGGTCTTGGGTGGTTTGGGTGGTTTGGGTGGTTTGGGTGGTTTGGGTGGTTTGGGTGGTTTGGATGGTTTGGGTGGTTTTGGGCGGTGTGGGTGGTTGGTTTGTTCAGAACCACCAAAAGCCGCCTTCAGCATTGCTGCTTTAAGGTTTGACTTCGGAACTGGGCTGCCCGTTTTCGGACCTGGTTTTATAAAAACTACCACTGCGCCCTAAAAGCCTAAGAAACTACGTAAGGAAATTGATGTTTGAGGTGAAGGGAAGCCAACCTCGAGAGGTTTACCTTGGAACAGTCTGAGTTGAATTCGCCAACTTTCCGGGTCAAGGACCTTGGATGTCACGACGTTGACAACATGTGGTACCTCGAAGGGATGGCTTGCTCGCGGCGGCTCGAGTCGGAATCAGCTGCAAATCCAGGTGGCCAAGAAGCCAAACTCCAAACTCCCCGCCAGGCTGGGACATGGCATGGGCTCAGCTCATCTCAAATTGCTGGCCTGCGATCCCCGTCTAAAAGCTTTGTTTTGTTGTTTTTTCACTTTTGGTGGTTGAGTGGTGAAACTAATTACCCCTAAAACCAACTAAAAACCGCTATCAAAAAGTAAGTTGAACCGGATGGCTGGGAACAACCAAGTCCAATCAAGGGTAGCTGCGCCAGCTTTCTCCCAAGGTACTCCCAGGTTTGCTTGTCAACTATCTTCGCCTTTCTCTTGCCTTTGCTGTAACGACCCTACAAGTTCTTGAGTCAGAATCAGATGTGCCCGCAAATCCATGTATCAAACAAACACAGAGTTGAATCGAATGCCTTTTGCCTTGCCAACTTGTGGCAACCCCTTTTTTTGGTCTGCCACTTCAAAGCCCTGAGGACTCATTCGACTCGATCCGACTCGATCCGACTCGATCCGACTCGATCCGACTCGATCCGTTCCCGTCTCCGTCGCCTTGGCCCTGGCTCTGCACATGGCGCTGGGCAGCGAGGCGCAGATCCGCGTAGCTCCTCGGTCGAGCGGAGATCAGATCGATCGGAGCGCGCGTTTGGCGGATCTGGGTGCATTCCAGTCCCAGGTTTTTCAGTTCCTTTGGCCTTTGGGCCAAAAATTGGGGAACCAGGTTTCAGTGAACCCTCTGGTGGTGGTACCCTTAGTTGGGTATGGGTTAAAAATTGGGCAACACCAAAATAGAAGCCTGGTAAATGGAACCAAGCGCTAAAACCAGCGGTCCAATTCCTGGTGGTTTCACGTTGACCAACATCTAGTTGGTGGTCTGGTTGGTTTGGGAGTTGAAGGGGTCCCTGGCTTTTCTGGAGGGTCTCTTGCGCAGAACCCCGACGCAGGCCCCCGAGGAAGAACCCGGACCCCTCAGCCCTTGAAAACAACCCATTTTGAGGGCCCAAAACCATCGGGAGCCTTCAGGGAGTGTGGGAATGAACCGGAAGGGGATTCCATAGGAAGCCACAAGGGATGATGCGGTCAACTGAGAACCAGCAAGTCTTTTCGGCATACACCCCCCAACCTTCTGGGCTCGTGCCGGTACCATATGTTCGTGGTGTTTATTCCCCAAAAACAAACAAAAACTTCAAGCTGTGAAAAACATGGGAACCCACATGGGGAAGCTTGGAAACCCAAAAAGATGACGTTCCCCACCCATGGGAATTTTGGGGCCAGGAATATTGATCAACCCCCATATAGATTTCGACTCACTTCTCCTTTTGGGAATAATGAAAAAACCCATGTTGTGTTGCAAGGCAGACATTGAACTTTGGATGTCCGTTTGGGGGTGATGGACAACTCCTGGGTTTAGACTTAAACCCAGTTCTGCTTTTGGGGATAAGCCTACCCCAAGGGGGTAATGAACCAATCCTGGGGCTTAAGTCTACCTTACTCAATCCAAATGTGGGACGCTGTCCGTGGGAAGGGATGCCTTCACCCGCAAGAAATCGCGCGGTCAAAAGCCCTGAATCTTGAGACCTAGGGGAAAACCACCAATAGACCAACCCAACCTCAGGTGTTGCCCAGCAATTAGCACAGTTTAGGATTCAAGAAGCAAGAAACTTAAATATATACAACCGCTTCCCTCAAATAGCAACGAAGCATGGCTAGGCGTGCTGGACAGCTTTGTTCTTCCCCAAAGCTTGCCTCCAAGAGAAACCGCAATGCACGCCCGCCCGCGATGTGGATGCACAAATTCCATCTCGCACCAGTTGGGATGGAACCCTATGACACCTACCAACTGGTCCAATCTGGTCTGCAAATAGGGAGTGGCCCCCTTTCGGGTTTTTAGACGTTTTACATTTGTGGGTGCTACCCTGTTAGTGGCATGGCTTTGTTCCAGCGTTCCCATTACCGACTTCTCCGTTTTCCCTCGAGCCGCCGCAGCACGTCGGGAACCTCCAGCCCCAGCGCCTAGCACGAATTGGAGGCGCTGACTCTGACGGAAGGCAACTTCTCCCATGCGGTTGAAATATCATAATTTAGTAATTTGTCCCATGGCCATCCCATGTAAAGGACCATTTTGATAAACCCCCATATGACGAAAGTATCCGCCTGCTCGTTGTTTCTCCCACCCCGCACAAACCATGCGGCAGGGCGCAAGTCTTCAAAGCGAGAATGTGTTCACCCTAGCAGTGCCCAAAACCGATAGAGGTAGAACCAACGTTTCATGCCGATAAGATTGATTTTGGTAGGGATTCTGGTAGAACCCCCTGCAAAAGTGGCAGACACGGGGGGTTGGGCGCTGCTCCGCCCACTGCCCGCCGTCGCTCCTTGCAGTGCATGGGAAGGATCAGTTCCAGGTCAGCGCTGCCGTGTGCAACTGCGCAGCAGGTCCTACAAGGAGGATCGGGCTGTTTTTTGATCAAGCTGGAAATGCGGTTCATCAAAAGGTCCTTTGCGTGACAAATTGTTGGAAAGCCACTGTTTATTTTGATCATTCGGGGGCCGAAGTCACGGACTATTGATCAACCTCATGGGCAAAGTCCATCTGACAAGAGCGCCACGATTCAACTCAAAGATTCGATTATTGTCATTGAAATTCGCTGGAGAACACCCCCGGATTCATCTTGAATGGGGGTAAAGCTTGCTCATTTCTGGCAACTTGCGTCTTCCTTTCGAGGCCAAATGGGCTGTGAGGCCGCTTCCATTGGTGAGTGCAAGCGGGACAGAGATCGCTGGCTGCAGCTTTTGAGACACCAAAAACGAGCTGCCGGACGAAATTGTCTAGATGTGAGATGCAATGAGTAGTTGCAATGTCGACATCACCACCTCGCTGTCATGGGCCAATCGGGTGACTCCTTTGGCCCCTAGGCTGCTCACTCGCGTTCGCCGCAGGCCACCTGTCTGCGAAGTGACATGGTCGCCTCGCAGGATTCGCGTCCCGACACGGCAGCTCGTCCGCAAACCACGCGCTCGCGTCGACCCGCTGCCCGCTGCCGCCACATCTGTCGAGTACTTGGAGTCCCGGCTCCGCATCGCACCGAAGGGTCGCCTAATGGAGCTGGGGTGCCATGCCCTTGTGCACCATGAACTCCTCAGAAAGAGAAAGGAGACAAATTAAGAGAAGTCCAACAAAAAGTCCAAACTTCTTGTTTACCACTAAAATGGTCCGAACCCAAAACGAGCAAGGGGTCTCTGAACTGTTTCTCCATTCACGCAGGCGCTCCAAAAAGTCTGGAATACCTGCGGACGGGGTGGCGTGGATTGGAAACACAGCCGTGGACCGGCGACCGCTCCTGGTCCGAAGTATCACCACTAGAGGCCATGGTCAAATTCCTTCTGGGGATCGTCCTCCCCGGCTCTGAAATGTCTGTGGGTAAAACCCCTGTACCCCTGGTGAACATCAAAATAGGTGGCAAATGGATGTTCATGCACCCCAAAATGGAGACATAGGGTATGCTCCATGGCCAATATGTTTGTGAACTTGCCGGACAACTCACCAAACAGGCCAAGCATCATAGGCCAACAACGGCATGCCCGCCAAGGGAGCTGCGAAGAGCTTGCTGCGCATCCCGCTGAACAGGATTGCCAGGCGTGCTTTAGGCTGCGAAGAGGAGAGGAAATGTCTCAGAACGCCTCAGATGTCCAAACGGCTCTGATTCAATAACTCCCATGTTTCGGGGAATTCTCAGAAGTGTCCCTCAAACCCCCCCCAAAAAAAACCAAGTTGGGCATCGCCAAGAAACCTACCCATCTAGCCCCCGAAAAAGAAAAACAAACAAAAACGAGACACTCCCAACAAAAGAACTCCCCAACAGGCCAAGAAACCTACCCATCTAGCTCCCCGAAAAACAAGACGGAGACACTCCCAACATCAACAGTTCCGAGGCGCCCTGCGGCTGGTGCTGCGTCCGCCTGGCCACATGCCAGGCCAGCAAGTTCTCGAAGGGCGTGCCCACCGCGGCCAAGATGAAGCCGGCGCCGCAGGCAGCGCCCGCCCAGGCCCAGGGGTCCTTTGGGCGCAAGAAGGGCGAACAACTCTTGGTTCAACCACCACCACCATCCCAAAAAAAACAACAAACACAAAACACAAACCATGGACAACTGGGCTGTCCGTTTTCAGATTTTCTGCGAAAGGTGACTGACTTTTAGTGGGTTGAAACCGGAAATCCAACCACTAAACACTACAAAGATCTAAAAAGCTAGGAGGATGGCTGCGAAGCATCAAGTCACATGGTTTTCCTAGGTGACCCAAATCCAGGAACTCGTTGGAAGTGCCGAACGTCGTGTGGGGGTTGCCCTCTTGGTTTCACAAATGAAAGGACACCAGCCATGTCGGTTGGGGTCTCTTCACAACCCTAACGGTATGGGCTTAGCAAGAGAACTGAGAAACACGAAACCCAAAAAACTTGACCCAGGAGCCAGGAACAGCGAAGTGCATGGAATACAGGGGTTTGTGTCTAATATTTGCTTAAAATAAAAGTAAGGATCTTTACCACGGTGAGCTTGTTTACCCCCACATCAGCTCGCCATAAGTGGTGATGTGTACTGCTTGGAATACCCCCCAAGTCTGCCAAAAACCTATCCTAACACCCAAGTTTAGCTCTGAATTTGGATGGGGAAAATCGCCTCAATGATACATCCCCCTTCTCAAAACTCACGGGGCGAACGCATGTCTGATCCTTTCTGTAACCCCTTTGTAGGCCGTCTCCAAGAAACCGAAGGCGCCAGCCACCCACATCCGTCCGTCCGTCCGTCCGTCCTTCTCTCCAGATGCATCCACATGGTGGCGGAGCAACACGGTGGCTTCCAGCTTCAGCCACTCGTAGCTGGTGAAGAAGGTCGTCAAGGAACATGCCTTGCCAGCAGATGCTCAAGAAGGAGACTTCGGGACTGTGCTGTGAACGGATCCCATGATGGGTGTCCTTTCAAGACCTGCGCAAATACTATATAATACTGTAGTTACTATATACATATATACACGGTTATGCGGGGGAAAAAATACGGATAGCTGATTGTATGTATATACTGGTTCTATTGCAATGTACACAACTTGTCGCTTCTCTAGAGTGGCGTTGAATGTTGGAAAACGAAACCAAGAAGACCAACAAACCGGACAGTCAACAAAACAAAAACGGAAAACAGTCTCCCCTGACGACAATCAGTTGACAGCTCTGTGTGTGTGTGTGGTGTGCTTTTGTGTTTGGTTGTGCTCTTTTGTTTGTGTTTAAAACAACAAGGCAAGAACACATCCCCAGTCTCCCCTGAAGACAGGCATGTTATAGTTGTTGCCGTTTTTTTCGGCTTCCTCGAGGGGTTCCTTGCTTCGGTGTATTTGGCTTCATGATCCAGTGTGCACCTCCTTTATATTTCGCCAATTCGGAGATGGCAGCTGGCGCAGAACTTGAAAACCAGCGGCACGCTCAGGGTCGCTCGTTCTGCCCCTTTGTCGCGGGTGCCCCGTTGGGTCCTTTGCTTGGATATCAACAGCCGTGAGTTGCACCAGAGGATCTGAAGATCACAGGGTGAAACAGGCTGCCGTCTTTTGGACTCCCCCCAAAGCCGACTTAAACCCAGGTTGATTTCCCCAAAAAAAGAAACCCCTGGGTTTGGGTCGACTTTGGGGTAGTCAAAAAAAGGAACCCTGAGGTGACAAGGGCGAAAAAACGACCCAACCAAACCGTCTCACCCTCCCACGCACACCTATGGCGGACCGGGAAAATGTTGCCTCGAAACGTTTCGGGCGAAAGCTGCACCTCCGCAAGCCGCAGATTGAGCAAGGGAACACGTATACTTCCATTTGGATAAGACCCCTGGAAAAAGTAAAAATATGTCCAGTAGTGATCCATTCCTTGTAAAGCCAACAGGGGAAAATGAACAAAATATTAAACAAAAGGATGTATATGCATGCGCGCATGCACACTGCCTGCCAATGCTAATCAGAACTTCAGCTAAATGGCGGTTGATCAATCTTCCGCAAAAGTCTTTCACATGACCATGAGTCACTTGTCCCATTTAGTGGGGGAAGTCATGTCTTTTGGTGGTATCCCTGATGGCCCATGTATATCGGACCTAAAAATGACATCAAGCCTCAAATCGTTGGTCTCTTGCTACTGGTCCCTTCAAAGCTGTGCCTCCTGCGCCAGCACGAAAGGGTAATTCTGGAAGCATCCCCGAAGGCCCACTCGGCCATGGAGATCCCGCAAACGTTGCCCCAGGCTCTTTTGTGACCCTTGCGCCGCCAGGGCCGCAATCTGGTCATCTCGACAAAGCCTGGCGTAAAGCAAAACCCGCGGTGCTGCAGCACCTGACTCCAAAAGCTTCACAGGCCTTTGTAGACAGGCATATCAAGCGCGTGTTTGTTCACTCCCCGACTCAATCAATTTGCTTTGTAAAGATGCTACGCAGCCAAAGGTATTACGAATGCCATCTGTCCCAAAAGCAAACGATGCGGGTGGCACGCTTTTGGAGGATGGTGGATGCATTTGTTGGTTCAAGGGCCAGACCCTGGCACATTTTGGGTGGTTTGGGTTGGTTTGCAGGGTTAGCAACAGGTAGCGGGCGCCTTGGTGGGGTTGCAGTAGACTTGAAGCAGCCGCAGCTGAAAAAAACTCTTCGGCTTGGAACTTTGTAGGAAACCAAAAAGACCTCTCCAAGGACATGAGTCGCTTGCTCAAAACCGATTGGTACTATGGTCGTAATCCCAGAACCATGTACAGGATGAAGAGAGCAAGTGGCTCACATTGTTTTATATGTTGAGGTTGACTCAATATGGTGCTAAAACTGCGAGTGTCCGTTGGGTGCAAAGGGCTGTTGCGGCAGCGGATAGCGAGTCGATGCTTAAACTTCGGATCGGTTGGAGAGTGCTGTCTGCATGGTAGCCGCCAATTGGGGTCTGGACTGAGAGAGGTGTGGTGTGAGATGGGAGAGCGGATGCCAAGTGGAAGGACTTTGCTTTCCTTCCACGTCTTTTGGACATGTGAATTATTCGAAACATGTCAGGAACTGGAACTACTTTCCTTTTCTCTCCGTGGCACCAAAAGAACCAAACGGGTTTTGACCCGTTCGACCCGACCCAAAACCCGACCCGACTCCCGACTCCCGCCCGCCGCAAGCCTCACGTTGTAGAGCGGCGTGTGCAGCGTGCCCTGCACAATCCCCGCCGCCAGCCCCGACGCGGCCTCGCAGAGCAGCGGCCAGTCACCCACCGCCGCGGGCCACTCGCCGGGTTCGGAGGCCACGCGGTGGAGGAAGAGACGGGTGGCGGTGTAGGTGTGGAACATGGCCTGCGTCCGGAAAAATCACTTCCACCCTCAAACAAAACCCATCAAATTGTGGGGCAAATGTTTCCCTAAAAATTGGATGGGTGCCCCCTTAGTTGTTTTGAATGGGCAGTTTGAGGGTGCAGGTTCCTTTAACTTCCATAAGTGGCTTCCAACAGAACCGCCCCAAAAAAAAAAACCATAATAAATATATTAATACACAAATATATATATATATATATATATAAAAAAAAAAAAAAAAAAAAAAAAAAAAAAAACGGATGCCAACGATTCACCTGATCCCCGGCCAGGGGGCCATGGCGATGGTGGCGTTGGCCACGTAGGGCGCCAACGTCTTGGTGGAGACACCCTGCACCCCGGTCTCTTTGAACTCCTCGAATCGTCTGACACTCCGGGGATAGGTTGGGAGCCGGTTCCTCTGAAAAGGATATGATGTATCAAAAAAGGGGAGGCCTTAAAACGGGTCCCCTCGAAAAAACCACACATAAATACATATATATATATATATGTATTCAGATAGAACTATATGCGCAACCTTCGGCCTGGGTACACGCCTGCGGAAGAGTCAAGTCATGCCGATCTCTCTAACCACAGAAGGCCCCGCAAATTGGTTGCTCGGAGTCCTTGGGGATCGGTACGGTCCATCTGCAATTGATCTTTCCAAAACCTGAACTGGGTGTGTCTGTTCTTCTGGATATCCCGAGCCCTTTTGGAGCGTCAAAGAAAGCCAAAAGGAAACCACCCATCTTGAGGGTCCGATCTTGAGAGAACCCCAAATAGCGGATCCCCCAAAAAAAGGACCACAATCCCTCTGACGGCAGATCCCTCCCTCGGCTCGCTCCTTTCGCACAGCATCCACCAGACCCTGCGGGTGGCTGCGAAAGGCGTCCAGGGGGCTAACGACCTGCCCGCGCGAGATGCGAGATGCGAGCAGCTGTCTGGATGCCGAGTCTCAGAGTCTCAGAGTGACTGTGTCTCAAAATGTCGGACGAGCAAGAATCTGGTAGCTGGAAATGGGACGAATATTGAGTCTTGGCCCTTGTATAATCGGCCTGTCATGCTGTTGCATTTGGCTGGACACAAAGCTACCCACAGTGCATCTTGTATTGCAAGCCAGACCCTCCAAAACCAAACGGGGGCCAAACATATTCCCCCGAAAAAGCGAACACACACCCCATGTGCTTAAGTCCCAGGGAAAGAACATACTATGTTCAGTAGCGATAGATTCCCTTTAAAACCAACAGCGGAAAATAAAACATGCTCCAGGTCCTCTTACTTCCCTTCAACCCACCACTTTGCAACTTGAAAAAACAGTCATGGCCCCGAGAAAACCCCCGCAAAAACCCATGGAACGAACCCCCCCCTCTCCCTCCCCTTCTCGCTCCTGGCGCCGGAAGAGGCGGAAGGGGTTCCTGATGGACGCCTCCAGCGTGTAGGCCGCCTTGGCCTTCGCCAGCAGCGTGACCTTCTTGGCCTCACGTAGATCGAAATCGGACATGGCGGTGCCGTTTTTGGCTTTGAGGGTGCCCCTTGGTTGGTGATGTCTCTCTCTCTCTCTCTCTCTCTCTCTGTCTGTCTGCATGCATGCATGCATGTATCTACGTGTGTCTGTCTGCACCATGGATATGAGATGGGGGACCCAAAAACGAACTAGGCAGCCAGGTCCTGAATCAATCCCTATATCCCCCGCTAAAAGTTTGATCTTGGGTGGCTGAGTGGAAGCTAAATGGCTTGGAACCAGCAAGAAACCCTGTCAATGTTGGAATGTCATAGCAGCGTGCTGAAATCGGATGCATATATATATATATATATATATATGTTAATGTATAACATATACATACATACATTACATTACATTACATTACATTACATTACATTACATTACATTACATTACATACATTACATTACATTACATACATACATACATACATACATACATACATACATACATACATACATACATACATACATACATACATACATACATACATACATACATACATACATACATACATACATACATACATACATACATACATACATACATACATACATACATACATACATACATACATACATACATACATACATACATTACATACATACATACATACATACATACATACATACATACATACATACATACATTACATACATACATTACATACATACATACATACATACATACATACATACATACATACATACATACATACATACATACATACATACATACATACATACATACATACATACATACATACATACATACATACATACATACATACATACATACATACATACATTACATACATACATACATACATACATACATACATACATACATACATACATACATACATACATACATACATACATACATACATACATACATACATACATACATACATACATACATACATACAT